ATGATTATAGTTTTTCTTAGTTAGGATTAAAGATAAGTTACATAAACTTTAGACACACAAAGATAGGATAGATGATGGAATATTTTCTTAAATCTTGCTAAATGTTTATGGACTAAATATTGTTAACTGTGATTCTTATTGATAACTGTTGTGTGATATATTTTGCTATGCTAAGGTTAAAACCCTTCTTTTTATTTTAGACAGAAAAGAGGAGATGATGGGAGATGTCATTCTGCATATGTTTCTCATACTGGTTAATAAATAAAGCACTGTTGGCCAATAGGAAAAGAAGATAGGAGGGACTAGGAGAGAATGAGGAAAAAGGAAGTAGTAAGGAGGAGTCAAGATGGAGAAAAGGGAGAGAACAGAATCGCCGGCCCCGCTCTCCAGTAAGACCACATGGAAATACATAGAAATGGGTTAATAATTAAGACAGAACTAGCCAATAAGAAACGAGCACCTGGCCAACAGAATTATATCAAATACAAAGTCTCTGTGTGTTATTTGGGGTTGGCGTGGTGGCGGGAGGAAAAAACCTTACTCCCTTACACATCTGCTTCTGTCAGGCAGGCTCTATCTCCCACAGGTCCCACAGCCACCCCATATGATGTACCAGATTGAAAAAAAAAAAAACATTCAAACCATAAGGCTGTGAGGGACATATCAGATTCAGACCATAGCAGGCATCTTTCCTAGAACCAAAGTATTTTCAAGATGGAGCTTTAACCACTGGTTCTTAATTTTGGCTGCACATTAGAATCACCATGGGGGGAGCTTTTATGGAATATCAGTGGGCTAGCCTCGCTCTTGGAGGTTCAGAGAGAAGCCTAATTCAAGTGGGGCTCATTTTTAAAAATCATTTTTCCAAGTAATTATAATTCTCAGTGAAAGTTGAGAAACATTTATTTAAACCATTATGGAATAGCACTGACAGTATCACTCAACTTTTGAACACATCATATAGTGTAGGGTGCCCCCTCCAACTCTTTACCACCACAATGGAACACATTTCCATAAGTGGGCTTTCTTCCTAACTTTTCTGTATGTTGGTAATATTTCCACAAGTGGAGATGATTTTGATTTATTTCTATCCTCCATCCTCTCATATCTGCTTAATTCTTAAAAGTAGAGTCCTTCATAGCCTCCTATCTGTTTTCTCAGAGCACTGCCTACGTGCAGGTGGTCATCAACCCCTGGGAATCTTTCTCCCTTTCAGTTCAATCACTGACAGTTGAACCACACTCTTCTGTGCATGGCATGTTCTCATCATGGGTTCATGCAAAGCCTTTATAAAAGTATGTGTTTTTTTTAACCCTTTAATAGCCTCTTCTGTGCATAAATATCAGATTGTTCTTTTCAGAAGTTGCCCTCACCTTGTCCCCTGGGCTAGATCTTGCATGTGTGTCCTTTAGAGCTCCCTATGGTCTAAACTCACTAAACTAGGAGGTCAATTCACATCTCCTGCTCTAGTTTTTAACATCTCTGAAATCACACACAATCTGTTTATCATTTTTATTTAATGTATGCATGTATATGTTCTGTTCTCACGGATTTATAGATTCTTTTTCATCTGTATCTAATCAGGCATGACCATTTTTAGATACAAACAAAAATATGTCTTTGGGTTATTTGGCAAGGTACTATATCAAAAATCAAGTAAGCTGGAACTGTAGAGATGGTTAAGCAGTTAAGAGTGCTTCTTGCTCATCCAGAGGACCTGAGTTTGGTTCGCAACAACCAAACTGGATGGCTCACAACTACCTGTAACTCTAGTTACAGAGGACACAGCTTCCTGTAACTGTAGTTCCAGGGGACTTGGTAGTCTCTTCTGGCCCCTTCAGCATCCACACATGTGGTATAGAATCACACATACATATAGGGTAAAAATTAATTTAAAGCAATGGTAACACCAAGCCAAAAAAAAACAAAAAAAGCAAGAAAGGGAAGACAAAAATAAAGAGTAGAATTTCCTAGACTTAAAAGGTTGGTGCCTTCTGTTTGAAAGAGATTAGAACAAAAACAAACAAACAAACAAACAAACAAAAAAACGAACTAAATCCACCCAAACCCTGCCATGAACCCAGGATAAATAAATGGAATTCAAGAGCATGGACAGGAAGAAATAATATTAAGTATTCAAAAATATTGATTGCTAGCAAAATGTACTTTAATGCAGTAATGTTTCCCTGCAATTCTGACATCAACATAGATTATTGTAGAGGCAAGGGAGAGAATTTCCCTAAAGCTTCTGTATTATTTGGAAAAGGGTAAAATAACTGATTATCTCTAGATATTTTGGAGCAATATCATATTGGTACATATAAAGATGTTTCCATGACCTTCCAATTATAATTTCCCTCTTGTGGTCACAAGTGTATTAGTCTGGATTAATGGTGGGGGATTCAGCTCAAATGATTTTCCGCTTATGAATACTTTGACCACAGCAGGACAGCTCAAGTGAATGGTCAGAAAAACAGAAAGTTTCATCCTCAAAATAGTGCAGTCTCATGTATTGTGAAAAAGAGTTCATCTGCCACTATACTCATTCTTACTTCCTGGTTCATTTTCTTAAGGTCTACCTATACCAACATGTCTTAGAACATTGGTTCTCACCCTGTGTGTAGAGACACCCACAGGGATTGCATGTCAGATATCCTGCATAACACACACACACACACACACACACACACACACACACACACACACACACTTCAACTCATAACAGTAGCAAAATTACAATTATGGAGTAGCAATGAAATAATTTTATAGCTGGGGAGTCATCACAACAAGAGGAACTATAGTAAAGGGTCGACCTATTAGGAAGGCTGAGAACCACTGTCTTTGAGTCTTTCTGGCCATCCCCTCAATTTCTGATTATTGATTTTCCAGTGCTTTATGGATCTTTCCTGTTCTTTTTTAGGCCCAATCAATTCTTTTATTAGTTCGTTGGCAGAAAATTTTTGCACATTTTTATAAAGAGCTTTGGCTCTGAAAGGAGTATTTATTATGCCTGTAATTTAACCTGAAGGGAAACCAGAAAGAAGTAAATGAATAAGAAAACAATTTTCAATTTACAGGGATATTAACAGATGGAATATGGTTAGAAAATTTTCCTGAAATAAAATAACCACACTGCTCTTCAATCCTTGCCATTAATGTGGTTTGCCACAATACCAAATTAAGTCCATTAAAAACATCCTGTACTCTTTCAGACAAATATTTTTCTTAAAATTAAGTAAAAGGAAAAACTATATTCAAGGCAATAAATATTGGGGTACTTCCTATTTGTGAGGCACCATAGAGAGCTCTGAAAATGGGCAATATCTCTGAGGTTATTTATTGTCTTATTGGATCTCATAGTTGTTACATGGACAAAAATCCAGTGTCTGTAAAAGAACCATCCTTGTGTTTTGTTTACATGAAAACACTGAGATGCTCAACATCATTAATAAACTTCATGTAAAAATGCAACAAATATTTACCATATGATACATACATACATACATACATACATACATACATACATACATATATCAGTGGGAAACAACCCTCCTGAAAAATTCCTTCCTTGAGTATTTTAGTGAGAAATAAGACCAAAAAACTAAGTAAATTCTGTGTACTAAATATTATGGAGTAGGAGGAGGAAGAAGAAGAAGAAAAAGAAGAGGAGGAGGAAGAGGAGGGGAGAAGAAGAAGAAGAAGAAGAAGAAGAAGAAGAAGAAGAAGAAGAAGAAGAAGAAGAAGAAAGGATGAGAGTTTTGGCTTGGTTTTGTTACAGTTTCAAACAAGGATGTTAGGAGGGGTCTGATTTGCAGGGTTCTCAAACAATAAACTGAGCATGGAAAATGTGTTAGCTGAGAGAATACATATGAGAAGCTTACAGGCAAATGTTTGTCAAGTGCCAAGGCCTTCGATCAGGAGAGTGCCTGACCCTTTCAAGATAAAGAACTTGAAGGCTAGTGTGACTGTAACTGACTAAATAGAGGGTGGGTAAACAGAAAATTTAAATTCTAGAGACAGAGAGACTTTGGGTTTTACACTAATGGAATGCCATTGTGGATTTGTCTAGCAGTGGAACGAGATTACCTAATTTGCACCTAGGTAGATCATAACAAAAGTTCAACATGGCCAGAGGCAGGAACACAGATAAGGAAGCCACCCAGTGAAAAGAGATGACTATGGTACAGGTTTTGTTGGAAATGGTGTTTGACTTCTGCGCGATTTTGATGGTGGAGCCATTCGGATTTGCTGGAGGATTAAAAATGTAATGGGAATTAAAAAAAAAATAAAGATAAGGAATTATTGGCTCTGGAAAAGTTACAATTTTCTAAGTTACGACTTGTGAACGTCTAGATTCCTGGTTTCCATCTCACATTATTTAATAAGAACTCCCATTGTCATGGTCTTGGAAAAATACACGTAAAAACACCTCCCGTGATCCTTCCACAGCCTACTTGACCTGGACAAACAAAGCCTAAGCTAGCGTTCACTTGTGTTGATCACTCGGGAGAAGCCATGCTTTTGATAGCACAGCGCTGTGAAGGCTGGTGGAGGGAGCGATGAATGCACACTGATCCATCCGTACCTTCCTGCCAGGAAAACGCTCCGAAGCCGCAAACGAGTTGGATTAACCAAGGAAGGCTTTTTGGAGGAGCCTGACTTTGACGAAGTGTTTCTCAGATTAAGAGGGAACTGACGAAGAGAACGGAAACGAAGATGAGTTAACTCTAAACGGTAACAGCTCGCTCACTCAAGAATTACATTTCCCTAGGAAACCAAGAAATTGCAGCGACTCCTCAAATGGAGAGAGGGAGGGAGGGAGAGAGAGGGCTCTTTTCTGTCAGCACCAAAATTCGGGCTTCCGGAAGGACAAGATTCGACGACGGACCAAACCGGATGAAGGTCGCGCGCCCTTTTCCTCCACCGCCGGCGACTTCCCAGTGGGGCGGAGACGCGCCGACCTTCTGCGCAGGCGCAGCAGGTCAAGCACGCGGGGCGCAATGCCGGGGTGGCATGTTTCGCGAGTCCGCTCCTTATATAAGCGCATCTTGCAGCTGCACCGGGCTCTGCCCCCGGATCTCAAAGCCCTGGGTGATCAGTACGTGAAGGACGAGTTTAGGAGACATAAGACTGTTGGTCCTGGCGAGGCCCAGCGTTTCTTGCAGGAATGGGAGGCAAGTGATGCCCCCTCCCTGATCCCAGGCTTCTGGGGTTCCTCAGTGGTGTCCGGCCTGCGGAGCTGCTCGCCGTGGTTCATGCACGGCCAAATAGGGCGTTTGAATGAAACAGCCTTAAGCTGCTCCGGCAGCGCTTCAGGTTCCGCCGTGAGCCCCTCAAGCTTCTACAGGCTCGCTGCTCGAGCACATTAACTTTCCCCGGTGTTCAGATCTACTTTGTGAGAGTGAGGTTGTCGGGTATTGGAGACGTGAGGGTGGGGTGTCTCAGAATTTAGTACATCACCCACTGTTAAGTACTCCAGGTTCGCTGGCTGTTGGCTTTTTGGATGCCTTGTACGGCCGGTGTGATTATCAGTGTGCCGTTACTTAGCTTCCAGAGTTAAGTTTGTTTTGATCATTTATTAAATTTTCATTTTAGGGCCTTAGTAAGTTTTCCACTTGATAGATCAGTTAGATAACATGCAAAGATTTAAGCCAGGTGAAAGTTGTTTTCTTTTTTCTTTTTTTGCTTTTACAGACAGGATTTCTCTGTGTAACAAACAGCTCTAGCTGTCCTGGAACTCACTGAGATGGACTCGAAATCACAGAGATCCAGCCACCTGCATTTGCCTTCCAGAACACTGGGATCAAAGGCGTGCACTACCACCATAGGGCTGAAAGTTGTTTGCTTTAGGCTCTCAAATCCTGGTAACTTTTTAACATACACTGCACTGTTGGCTAATACTTAAAGAGATGAACGCATTTGGATTTAGTTGTTAGACTTTTCGCCTTCCTTATTTTTAATTACATATTTTACTTGAGTGTGTGGGGGATACACACAGAAGATAACCTAAGAGAGTCTGTTCTCTTTTTCCACCACATAGGTCCTGGGAACCAAAACTCAGGTTCTATGGCTCTGTGGCAGGTGCTTTTCTCACTGACTGAATCATCTCTGTGGCCCTAATAATTTTTTTAAGAATGAAGGGGGAAAAAGATAAGGGTATTTCATGGTGCTGAGAATCTTGTAGGATTTCCTCCTGCCTTGTAAATATCAGGAGGAGAGAGGAATTGGGGAGCAGAGTGCTGTGGGGAGAAACTGCTGTGATAAAATAGAGTTTTCATATTGAAAGTAGTTAAGTGGCATTCACCTTTAAAACAACATAAAGGTTATGTTAGGGTAAACATTTTCATTGAATCCTATAATTCTTGATTGTAAATCATCGACATTTTAAAGAGAAATTTAGAGCTTTCTTAAAAGTCTTGGTTTATTAAATGTAATTTGGTTGTCCAAAGCTGGGGAGGTTTAGTCTTTTTAAATGCAGAGCACTTTCTTTAAGTATGTAATTGGTCTTGGAGTCAGAAAAAAAACTAGATTTAAATTCAAACCTTTACATTAACTAAACGTCACATTAGTTAATTTTTCTGGTTTTACAGTGTTATCTGTAAAATAACAGTATTTACAATAAGTATCTCAAAGCTTGTTTGTTTATTTTATTTTGTTTGAGACTGGGTTTCTGTGTGTAGCCCTGGTTGGCCTGATACTTTCTCTGTCCAGGCTGGCCGGGAAATTGGAGATCCCCCTGCCTCTTCCTCTGGAATGGTGGGATTAAAGGCATAAATGTGCCATCATGCTCAGCTAAAGCTAGAATATTTAAAAAGCACTTTGTATATTGTTAATTACAGTGAAGCTATGATGCATTAAGGTGTTTATAATGTTGAATCTGTTGAGTTTCTTTGAAACTAGACAAGAAGACTATGTTGTTGCTGAGAAGAAAAGTCTACTTTGAGAAGTCTTGAAGTTTAAGAACTTGGAATGTTTAAGAAAAATGTAGGAAAGGGTAGAACTTAGAATACGTTGACAAAAAGCTGAAGGAAAGGATACAAGATAACTGGGTAAATGTGTTGATTATCACAGGAAGTTTGATGACAGCCATTTCACTGTGTTTTTTTTTTTTTTTTTTTTTTTTATTTTAAAGTAATTTAGACTTACAGAAGAGATGCAGAGACAAGGCAGAGTTCACAAAAATCTACCACGCTGCTTCTTGTGATAACATACAACCAGGGCATTTATCAACATGTAGAAAGTAACATTTTAGCTGGGAACTCCTAATAACAGAGCATATTTACACTATATCACTACTTCCAAAAATGTCTCTGTTTCAGGAGCAGGACTGGATTCCCCTCAGCATTTAGGCATCTCCCCCACCCTTAATCTTCTGTACATTGTCAACAGCTGTTCAGTGTTTCTTACTTTGACACGTTTTTGAAAAGTACTTCTGTTACTTGGAGGAATGTATGAATTTGGATTTATTTGACGTCTACTCATGATTAGATACATGTTGTGCATTCTTGAAAGGTTATTATGAGGTGAGCTGTCCTCAACACATTTGCAAAGGGTGCACGTTATGATAAATGTGTTGATAGTTTGATTAAGGTCATGCCTGCCTGCAGTGAGATATCCGTAGATAACCATGCACTAGTTATCTACTTCACCTGCCTGGTGATTTTACTGTTAAGTCAGTGCTGTGGTTTAGGGAAAGTTTATCAATCAGAGTTGTTCATAATGTGCTGACAGCTTATTCCCAGTGTGACCTGTTGAGAGTGGGTGGAAACGTTAGTTAAGAAGTGGGATTCCAGTGTGAGGCCATAAACTCAGTGGGCATTACTGTTGGGAGAGATTTGATGTAGTTTCAGAAGTCTTGGAAATTCTTGTTGGAGCTGGTTGTTATATGTAAACAAAGAAAAACAAAGAAAAATAGCAACCTGAGCTCAGTGTGGTGACGGGTGCTTATAATCCTACGCAGGGCCAAGGGCAAGAGAGTTAAGGCTAGCCCATGTAATTTAGCAAGACCTCCTCTCAAAATGAGACCACAAGAGGCTGGGGTGTGGTCGGTGATGGAGTACATACCTAATATGTGCCAAGTCCTGAGTTCAGTCTCCAGCCTCCAGTCTCTCTCTCTCTTTCCCACTCTCTCTTTCTCTTTCTTTCTCTCTCTCCCTATCCTATACCTCATCCCTGAATCTTTCCTACTTCTTGCCTAACTGGATGTATGATCATTCCCACTTACATATACTCCCACCACTTTGCAGTCAAAAGACTTCTACCAGTGCCCAAAGTTGCTAGTAGCATGAACTTGGAATACCACTCTGTGAGTTAAGTATATGTCTTCATATACTATACAAGATCAGTATTTTTCCTTTTCACATTGTTAAATATTTTGGAACAAGAATCTGAGGCTGCACAAGTGTCCTGTTCTCCTTAAACTTTGCCTAATTCAGCATCATGGCTGTATGCTGTGGTTGTGTTCCTGTGCTACTTTTCTGTTCCCAATATTCCTTCCAAATGCATTAGTTGAATTGTTTTCATAGGGAAGAAATGGCTCATCTTCTCCACTGGTCAAGTCGTTTTACATTTTTTTTTTTTGAATGGAGAAAAATGTTTTATGGGTTGGGGCCTGGTGGTCCTGCAGTTGATGAATCAGCAGAAATTTAACCCCAGTATTTTAACTATCAAGAGTTCATGTAACCTTTGTAAATCTGAGGTATTACTTTTTATTTGTGACTTCTAGGTGGATCATCGGATAAAAATAAATGACTAAGTTGCATGTCATGTATATTTAAAGTTTCTTTAACTTAGTATAATTAGAGCTGATGGCTTCTACTATTTTTGATAATTTAATAATGTTATATTACTTATATAAACTTTAATAATTTTTAATAATGTAATAATAATGCCTCACCGTATTTGAAGCCCTCAGTTGGTTGCTTTTGAATATTTGTAGTTTGTTTAGCTTGTGGAAGAAAAGGAATGAATTACTGCTCTGTCCTACATGGATTGTACGTGTGTGGAAGGGATGGCTCAACCAAGTGTCAGAGGGTTACTTGGGCACCTCTCAGTTTATGTTGCATGTTCTCATGGCAGCTTCCTTCTCTATGTGGGGTGGTGATTGAATGGTGATGCTTTATAGGGTAGTGATGTCATGTAAGTTATATCTTCTAAGATGTTTTAGACACATCACGGTCTTTAACTGCCACCCTAATGGGATAAAAGAGAAGGTGTAAAACTGGGCATCCTTGCAGTATGGAATGTATTAATGCTTTAAATATTTGAGGCTGGATCTCTCTCTCTCTCTCTCTCTCTCTCTCTCTCTCTCTCTCTCTCTCTCTCTCTCTCTCTTTTAAGAAAAAAGAGTTTGTTGTGCCCTGCACAGCTCTGGAATTGACCTGCCTAGGATGGCAGGGAATGAAGAAGTGACAGACACACATACAGAAAATGGAGACTGGGTGGATTTATTTTCTGTGTAAATTTTTTAAAAGTTTCTTTAGGCCTCTGTTGTCTCCGTAGGGAAAAAAAAAAAACAATATATTTTACCTTTGAAATTAATGGCAAAGCAGAAAATGCTTTTTCTTATATAATTGTGTCATGAGATGTGTTAATTTGTTTAATTAAATGGTGTAATCTAGTCTATACTCTTACAGGCGGTTTTGCATTTTGTTTTTTCTTTCATCTTCTCTGTTAACTTTGAGGACATGTTTTATAGCAAGGAATCAATAATAAAATGTATTTTAAATACAATCAAATTTAGCATAAAATTGAATAATTCTAGTTTTAAACTGTTTACAAGGTAAAGGGAAAATAGTAGAAGTTAATATGTGGTTGATGGGAATCACAAAAAAGAAAAAATGTGGTTGATGGCATTAATATATAAAAATAAACTTCTTTAACTTGGTAGGAAAACACTAACATTTTAAACTTAAAAGATGGGCTGGTGGTAGTGGTGCATACTTTTAATCCCAGCTCTCAGGATCTCTGTGAGTTCAAAATCATCCTGGTCTACCTGAGTGAGATTCACGACTGCCAGGGTTACAGAGAGAAACCCTGTCTTGAAAAACAAAATAAAGACGGGCAAAGGGGAGTCTAACAGACATTTTTTGATTTGCATACAAATAATGTAAATTGTTATATTACTTAGATATAGTACAAGTAAGACATTGAAAGTAGTGTAGCTGCCCAACAG